GCAAATTTTTTATACACGCGATATATACGTGATGTGTTTATTCTCCAAAGACATTATCATCATTGAAATACCGATGTGTACGGTGGAGGTTTGTACAATGTTGTGTTTGTATCTTTTTCTTCAATCGGGTAAATCAAATTTCACAATAACCGGTCAGCTGTCTGGTTTTTGTTGTTGTTGTTATATGTTTTCTTTCACTGTATGTTTGATCCCGGATATTTTTTTTCCCACTCAATGGTCAAACATAGAGAGAGAGAGACTGGTAACACAGTGACATTGAATGTGTGGTGAAAATCAGAATCCGGGACCGAAATAACAATACAAACAACCAACCTACCAGGGAGTCTTCACGATGATAGACTTGTGTTGAAATAGTAAAAGAGAGAGACTATCCAATTTTTATGAATGAATGAATGAATGGCTGCCCTTCTTCATTGTCGGCGTCTTTCCTTTTCTACTTGATTTTCAACGTAACAAAATACTTTCACAAATTTCTATAAATAGGCTTTGAAGAAGAAGAAGAAAAAAAACGAATTCCCTGAATTCTATGAGAAAATAAAAGGAGAATGAAGAAGAAAGAAGGAGAAAATCTCGAATACAGAATCGAAAACAAAAATGATGAAGGGGAAAAAAATGTTTCAAATGAAAAACTTGAGATCCAGGATCCAGAATCGGGATTTTTGATTCGACGATTTTTTGATCCAACACATATCTTTTCCCTCATATCAATTTTGACGAAATCTCAAAGAGATGGTGGAGGTGGGAATTTTTCCGAAATCAGTTCAACGGACGATGATGATGATGAGGTACTTGAACTTGGAAAAAAAGTGAAAACGAAAAATTTGAAACAAAACAAAACAAAATCAATTGGCCATGACATTGACACATAGTGAAAACAAAACAGAATATAATTTACTTCCTGGGTCAAAACCAGGAGGAAAAAAAGGTCATTCGGTTTTTAGGTCTTTTCCTCATCATCACCATCATTGATCTTTCAATCATCATCATCATCGTAATCATAATCATTTCTCCTTCGGCAACATACCACCCGCAACAAAAATCTAACCCACGTTTATTTTTTTTTGGTTGTTTTTCGAATGTGTGTTGTCTACATACAAATGTTTTACATGGGGAAAAAAAGGCAAAAGATCTTCGAAGAGAGGGAGAATAAAAACCACCACCGACCTACCAACCGACCGACCGACCGACCGAAAATTTTTTTTTTGACACACGTCGGCCGTCATCATCACCATTCACCATTCATGATTGTTGTTGGTTGTTATTTCGGTAGCCAATCAGTAAGTAAAGTAAGTCAGTCAGTCAGTCATTCTTGTCAGTCATTCAATGTTTGGGTTGGTTTGATAAGTCAATCATCATAGTTGATTGGGTGATAATCATGATCATTGATGATGATGATGATGATTGTGTTTTAGGGTGTCGGGAATGATCATCACCATTATTACCTATCATCAGTTACATCGGTTTGGCAACTAACAAAAAAAAATGAAAGTCGGTGAAATATCACAAGAGAGGGAGAGAGAGAAAAAGATCAGAATCAAATTGGTCGCGTGTCTTTCAATTCACTCACTCATTCTTCATTATTATCATCACCATCAACAAACAATCCTTTTTAGTTTTTTTGTTTTTCATTCATAGTTTTTTTCCCTTTTAGATTTTCAGGTGCCTCATCATCATCATCATCGTTGTATACGATACACACACAAACATGACAATCCTATAGGATCATTGAAATTGTGTGTGGAGAGAGAGGGAATTTTCATTCACAAAAATAATAAAAATTCTTCGACGTCATTTTCTTCTTCCCACATTGATGCATGATGTACAAAAATGTTTGGTTCATTTTCTTTCCTGCTTTTCCTCGTCATCGTCGCCGTTGTTATCCTTTCACTGTGTGTGTCTGTGTTTGTGAATGAAATTGATTGAAACTTTCTTTTTTCTTCACTTGAAAAGAATAGAATAAAGATGAAAGCATGATGGGTATCAAACGAGGGTGATGATTTCGCTTTGATTTTCCACACTCAGCTGATTTCCTTTAAACAAATCAGCTGAGTGTGGAATTTTTTCTTTCGTTTCCTTTCGCTTTGCACAGAATTTTTTGTTTTAATTTTTCAAGACAAAAAAAATTGAATAATCCAAATAATTTTTTTTCCCATGGATTTTTGTTTTCAAAAGTGGATGGATGGATGGGTATTTTTTTGTGTCGAACAATAGAACCAAGAACCTAGAAATAAAATTAGAAAAAAAAGTAAATTGAAAAATCTGACCTGACCTTTTGTCCTAGTGACCTGAAAAAACACACACTGATATTGAATTGACCTGTGTACAACACACGTATGTCAACTATTTTCGGCCATGTTTTTTTTCTGGTTGCTGGTTTTCATTGTTTGTTTGTTCATTTTCATCATCGTCTTTGTTTGTTTGTTTGTTTGGGTTTCTTTTGGCCAGAGAAAAACCTAACCAAAAAAAAAAACCAATTCTTTGTGACACGACCTAGTGGGCCTAGATAATGAACCAAAGAAGAAGAAGAAAAAAACACAACAATCTTTCTTGATAACCACTACTACAATTTAAAAAAAAAAATCATCATCATTTATTATAACCATCATCAAAGAAATCATGCTTTTGGTTCTATTTTTTTTCATTTTGCAATGTTGTTTTTTTTTCACTTCAATTTTCTTTACTTCGTTTTTTCGATAATTCATTATAGATCATCGATCATTATTGATCATGATTTCGATTCGAAAGCGAACAACAACAAAAAAAAACCAGGCTGCCATCCAGCCAGCCAGCCAGCCAGCCAGCCAACAATATTAATGGATATTTGAAAGCAAAAAAAAATGAAATGAAAAAGAATATTGATGAAACCAAAGAAAAGAAAGAATGAATGAATGAAAAAATAATCAAAATATTAAAAAAAAAAAAATAAATATGGAGAACAATAGAATCTTTTTTCTTTCTGGCATGGCCATAGTTTATCAATATATCATTTTTGGAAATAGAATTTGTTTGTTTCTTTGTGTGTGTGTAATGTTGAAGCAAAAAAATATCTTCGTCATGATGATGATGATCATAATCATTTATGATTGAACGCATGAACCATCCATCTATCCATCCACCCACCCACCCATCATTATACAACATACATATGCGCAGCAATTCTTTAGAATTTTTTTTTTCAATCAACAAAAAAAAATTCAATTCTTTGTTGTTTTTATTACCCGAAAGAAAGAAAAAAAATATTTCAGCAAAATTTGTATCGGGTATACGCGTACAGTCTCCCGCCGCTGAAGCCATTTTTTTTCATTCTTTTTTTCGTTCGTTAGTTTTTTTTTTTTAATTTTAAAGTTGAGGTCGTCATCATTGTTGATGACATTGCCGCGCGGTTCATCATTTTTTTTTTTGTTCATAACATAGTTACATACCACTATTCCAGGTGGGTGGAGCTTTTCAAAACCCAAAAACATAAAAAACAAAACAAAATTCTATTCAAATTTAACATTTTGAACAAAAAAAGAAGGTTTGGTTTCTCTCTTTCTCTCTCTCTTCCTATCCTTTTTTTAGCTAAATAAAAAAAAAAGATAAATTTTTTTTTGCGCACTCTTTTTTCTCTCTCTCTCTCTCTCTCTGTTTGTTTGTTTGTAAGTTGACGTCATCATCGTTAATGAATATTTTTCATTCTTCCTCCTCCCCATTTGAAATTTATTCTGCTTCTAACTAAAATACATACCACTACTTCTATGGAATAGGATTCAACCCAACCAACATTGATTAATGCTACCATTCAATTTTTTTTTAGAATTTGCCGTTCGTTTACAAACATTCGAAAATGATGATGATGATGATGAAAAAAAATAACAACAAATCAAACCAAAAACACAGCGGCAAAAGTTGTGTTTTTATTTTTTATTTTTTTTGAAAAAAATACCACTACATTTATGAAACATTTTTTCTTTTTACTTCTTTTTTTGTTGTTCTTGTTTTTTTTTTGCTTCTTTTCATTCAGATTTTGATCGGTTTTGATTCGATTTGATTCAAATTCATCGACATTGACATCATCATCATCACCCTCATCAAATTTTTTCTTTTTTTTTGTTGTTGTTGTTGTTCAATTTTGATTTTATAGTTCTTTTCTTTTTTGTTGTTGTTTGTTTGATTCAAATATTATGGCGCTAATGTTATAACATCAACACAACAACATGCAATTCAAGAAAAAAAGAAGAATGCAATTGAAACTAAAAGAATTTTTGTAAATTGTTTCTGTGAAATTATTTAATGGCCATTTTTTTTGATTAACAGTTTGAAAACAAAACAAAACAAACAAACAAAAAATGAAGAAATCTTACCGTAATTTGTATTCTGTGGTTTTCACATTCGAATTCGAATGAATCAGTTCTTTTTTTCTGTTCTGTGTTTCAAAATTCCCGCTTCATCTTTTTTTCCGTTTTGTTTTTTTTTGTTTTTGAAATTCATCTTTCAGTGGACAGCCGCCACTGTTTTCATAAAATATTTGGAATCAATTTTCATTGGCTAACATCAATCAACTTTTTGTTAGTTTGTCGCTAAATTTTTTGTTGTTGTCGAATATTTCATTTTATTTTCCAGGAAAAAAAAATTAGAATGAAAGAAGAATCGCCAAACTGATTAACTACATTTATTTGTTAATCTTAATCTCAAAAAATATTTACCATTCATTCATCATCATCATCATCATCATTGATTATCATCAAAATCGAATTTCAACATTTATCATCCTACGCTTTTTTTCTTCTTTTCTTTCGACGCCTACATTTATCTATTGATTAGTATTTTATTATTATAGTGTGTATTAAACCTACAACATCGTTTATTCGATTAAATCATTCAATTATTACAGATGATGTTTAATGTCATCATTCATTGAATTTACTAAATCCATTTTTTTCAATAATGAATTCGTATTTAATCATTGAATGAATTGAATTAAATATGAAAAAAAAATAATCAAACAAAATTAAATTATAAATCAATCAATCAATGAATTAATTATATTTTAGTTATAATTAAACAAATTCAATTTTGTTTGTTTGTTTTATGGAAATTAATCAATGGCTGTACCACATCCAATACCGCCACCAAATCTTGAACATTATGATTTACATAGAATTCCATCATCTTCAACGCCATCAACAACATTAAATTCATCATCATCATCATATCCATTACATTCTGTACATCATACATTACCACCATCAAATCAATCAGGTGCTATGAATTATCCACCACCGCAAGGTTCTAATAATTATTATGGTGGTGATGGTCGTGGTATGATGAAAATTCCACAATCACAACATCAACCTTATCCATCACAGCCACCTCCACCATTATCACATCCAAATGATTATGGAACAACGACACATTATTATGCTGTTGGTTATGGTCAGCCACCACCACAATCGATTACATCATCTCATCAACATGATCCACAACATCAACAAACACCATCTTCTGTTTTGATGCATGATCAAAGCCGTACATCGAATGCTCAAGATACAAAATCACCGTTACCAATATCATCACCAAACAATCAACCCAATGATCGTCGTACACCCGGAATGATGCAACCAATGCAACCACCTTATGGACATCATGTATATCCAGGATCATCACCTATGTATCCACCACCATCATCACAGATGAATTCTTTACCACCACCACCTTATATGACTGGACCTCCCCCTCCTCATTCTCCTCATTCACCTTCTTCATCACAATTGTCCAATCATCATTTTGGTCATCATCAACCATCATCACCATCATATGAAATGGCCAAAAAAATGCGTATGAATGAACCATCATTGGTTCCAACAACGACCGGTACAAGTGGTGATCCAACAATAGTTGATGGTAGTGCATTTCATTCTCATCCTCATCATCAACAATTATCACATCATCCTCATCATTCACCATCACCACATCAAGTGCCTTCGGGATCTCGACAACAACAACAAGCACCCCCTCCACCACCGCCGCATCTTCAACATTATAATGGCAATCCTCAACAAATTGCTCATAGTCAAATGCCAATTGCTCAACAGGCTGTTACAACAGCCACCGGTATAATGAGATCGGATCAACAATCATCATGGGATATTGCAAATGGTTCAACAATATCGAATAAAAAAACATCCGTAGGAGGTTGTAGTCCAACGCAACAACAATCAATAACAGATGCGGATAAATCATCAAAGAAAAAACGTAAACGTTGTGGTAGCTGTCCCGGTTGTCTTCGAAAAGATAATTGTGGTGAATGTGGTCCATGTAAAAGTGTACGATCACATCAAATATGTAAGATGCGTAAATGTGATCAATTAAAAACGAAAAAAGAAAAGGTTAGTAAAAAAAAGAAAAGAAAAATTCCATTCAACAGAATTATAGATCAGTTGTTTGTTGTTAAGTGTGTGTGTGTGATATTAATGATTTTTGTCACTGTCTTTCGTCACATCGAAATTCCATTTTTTTTTGTCATCGATAAAGAATTTTTTTCTTCTCGTTTTTTCATCAAATAACACAAATGATGATGATGATGATGATGATGTGTTTGGAAAGAATCCAAACAAAATGAGAAAATAAGAATATTTATAAAAATAGAAAATGACGCCCATGTACAACAACAACAACAAGCAAAAAGCATTTCCATTTTCATTTTGTTTTGTTTTTTTTCGTAAAAAATATTCAATCATTAGATGAAAATTTTAATGTGAAATGAAATATAAAAAAGAAAGAAAAGAAAATCATTAGATTCGTTTGATTTTTATATATTTTTCATTTCTATCATCATTATTTTTTTTACTGATAATTGAAAAAATTCAAATTTTATAATAGGTTCATCGTATTTTGCTGTTGTTCAGAAAAAAACCTACACATTTTGTTTCCAGATTATAATTCCTAATGATTTTTCATTCTATTTTATGTTTGTTTGTTTGTTTCTTTTGCTATATTTTTTTCATGTTTTATTTTGTCTAAATAATTCGTGAGATCTCATCATCATCATCATCATCAACAAAAACATAATCATCATGCAAACTATCAGAGAGAATGATAATAATCATTATGATGCTCATTAGGAATCAGGAATAATAATGAAAATAAATAAATAAACTTTATTGAATGTCAAACTTTGTTTGTTTCTCTGTGTCGAATGTTTTTTCGTTAGTTTTTTTTTTGTTTGTTCATTTGGCTTCGAAAACAGAGAATTTTTTTCCTTCTTTTTTCATTCGAATGAAAAAAAATGTGAAATGAAGAATTTTTTTGTTTTGTTTTTACTGCTAAACATTTTTATGTCATGTTTTTTTTGATTGGAAAATTTATAATTTTTTCAAAAAAATTCTTTCATTTGTTGTAATTGTTATAGCATCCCTATGAAAAAAATTTAAATTAATTTTGATTCTCAATTCATTAATCATATTTGATTTTCTGAATTCTATTTTTTTTGATGATCCTGTCTTGTTTGATCCCGTCACAGTTTTGACTTTTGAAAAAAAATTATTACATTTTGGAAATTTCGTTTCGTTTTTTACACTAATTTAATTTTGCCATTTTTGTCAGTATTTTTTTTTCTATAAAGTATTTGGCACGTTTTTTATTTATTTATTTTTTGTATTTTAAAACAGAAAATTTATTTATTTATTTTCTGTTTTTACTGCCCTAAGGCAAGGTCACAAACACACAATATGTGTGTTTGAAAATGTTGTGAATATATCATCAACGTCATATATAAAATTTGCACTTGCCATTGTTTATGGCAAAAAAAAATTCATTTGAATTTCACAAATTTTTTGTTTTTTCGAAGCAAAACATTCAAATATTTAGAGTTTTTATTACGATTTACACAAACGCCCAGTATATGTTGGCTTTGATTGAAAAATATTTACAAACAAATGATGATGATGACCAAAGAAAATTTCAATTCCGGAAATTATTTTTGTATCAATTATTTTCATGTATCACGTCTGGATACAATAATTCCCAAATGAAATTTCTATGGAATTGTTTCAATGTTTTTATTAAAACATTAAACGATCCATTATCATCTTTGCAACAGATTGATAATTTGAAAATCAGTGTATCTTTTCTCATTGAACATTGATTTTATTCAAATGAATCTTATTTTGATTAAAAATTTGAAATCAAATCATAGTCGTTTATGGTTGTTTGTTGTTGTTATTTCACTTTATTTAAAATTCTTAGATTTTTTTTTCTCTTGAGAAATAAAAAAAATTGAGATGAAATAAAATGTTTGCAACATTGTTTCGAAATTCTAATCTTCGTCTTTATTACACTAACAATATTCAAATGTAAATCTCATCATCAGGTAAAAAGTAATTTTTTATTATTTACTTTTCATCTTGATGATGATGATGATGATGATCATCATCATCATTTATAAATCAATTCAAGTTGGTTCATTAAATTTCTTACTTTTACCTGGTGTCGATGAACGAATGGTAAATTCATTTTGGCCAACGACATTGACAATTTTCATTCATTCATTCATTCATTTTGTTATGTCTAGCCTTTTAGTCTGATGATGATGATGATAATCAGGTAGAAATTATTTAAAACGAAAATGTCGATGTCTTATTATAACAACACCACCATCAACTGATCAAGTTGAAGATCAAGTTTTTGTATTGAAAACCTAAAAAATTGTCCAATAATAATGAAAAAATGAATGTAAAATGTTTCTACTTCCAATCAAGATTCTGGTTATACTTTTTTCTTTTCTCCTTTTTTTCCGTCTGTTGTTTCAATAGAAAAGAAAACCAAAACTACAACTACAACAGAGCATTCAGGTGAATATACCAGACTGCTGTTTATGGATGTTTTTGTATTTAGCTATAGTTAATGATTAGGGTCATTTACCCTCTTATAAGTCATTCATATTGATGATGTTGTTGCACATGATGTTGTTGTTGTTGTTGCACATTGACGACCTTGAAAAATAAAAGGTAAAACTAAACAACCAATGATTATGATGATGATGATAATAATGATGATGATGATGATGTAATATGAAACACATAAAGATGCATCATCATCATCATCATAATAAACCAATTGGAAAATATTATTAGTAATGAAAATAAGAAATTCTTTATTGGATGATATGAAATGCAAATATTATTTAAAAAAAAAATCCTATTTTCATATTTTAAACGAACACAGATGTTAAAATAGTGGATTTTTTTGGTTTCGTTTCGCTGTTTCCCGAATAATGAACCAAAAAAAAAACATTAAATCGATTTCTTTCTTTTGCTTATTCATCATTTGATGATAATCAACAACAACAACCATTCAACCAGAAAATAACATTGCCAAATGAAAAAAGAAAAATAGAATTGAAAATCTGGTTCCATATGTGTTTGTTTGTATGTCTATGTTTGTTATTTGGAATTTTTGTTTTGTTTGAAAAAAATTTTATCCCGAAAAAAATTTCAATGAATTTTTTCTGCCGTAGAATTCTAAATGATTCATTGGAATTTGGTTTGTTTCTTTTTCTTTTCACTGATTTCTATCGTAAATGAATAAAATATTTGATGATGATGGTGGTGGTGGGTGGATATTTGGAAATCATTGAATTTTCTCAAGAAAAAAATCATGCTAATTAATTTTGTTTTTTTTTATTTATCTGAACGATGTATATAGGGTGGAAAATCGAAACAAAATCAGAATAATCAGAATAATAATAATAAAGAATCAAATAATGGATCAATAACATTATTATCATCATCATCTTCATCATCTTCGTCATCATCATCAACGTCATCAACAACATCATCAACAGCAGCAGCAGCAAATAATTTACCAAATTTACCAACAAATCAATCAACAGCAACAATAACGGCAAAAAATTCATCACCAAAATCATCTCAATCATCAATTGCATCTACAGCCGTATCAACAACAATAACAACAACAACAACAACGACATCAACAACTACAGGTAGTGTTTCACCACGAACATCAATGAAAAGGGTAAGTTTTTTTCCTTAATTCAAAAATTGATTTAAAAAAAATCCCAAATGATACTGATTAATTTTGTGTGATGAAAAGAATCCCACATGGTTACCACACGTTGTTTGTTTGTTTGTTTTTTTTACTTCGTCTGCAATCTTGCCTGGCTAATATTGTGTAACATCTTCATTCACCAGAAATATTTGAATGGTCATTTGTGAACGAAGAGTAACGTTTTTGTTGTTTTTTACATGTGTAATTGCAAACAACAACAACAACATGGATGCAAAATAATACAGAATGATTTTCACATACTGATAAGGGTAGTGAAGATGAATAAAACAAGAAAACAAGTGTATCAAATCGAATATTGTTGTTGTTGTTCGAAGAAAAAAAGATGTTTGTCTGTCTATGTGTGTGTGTGTGGATGTGATGATGATCATCTTAATAATGATGTTGTTATTAAAGTGTAAGTCGGGGAGAATCATGAAGAAGAATAAAAAATGAAATCAAAAAATGTATTCAATGTAGATCACTGGATCACTAGGAAGAATGTTTGAAAAATGATGAGTAAATGAAAAAATGAATAGTAGAAAAAATTGATTGACAAATCAAATTCAAGCCAAGCCAATCAATTGATCGAATAGGAAAATATTTAACCTTCATAAACAGTATTTAATTAATTTTGTTTTTTGTCTATAATTAATTCTGTATATAATGTAATAAATTGATTAATCGAATCAATCAATCAATCGATCGATCGATCGATTGATTTACAATTAAAAATGTTTATTTTATTTTATTTCTTTTAAACATTTTTTCTTTTCTTTTTTTATTTCTGTGTTCAGAGAGTATACTGAATATTTTTCTTTTCTTTTATTTTTACATTCAATTTTGATGATGGCAGATGGTTTCCATTTCTCTCTTCTTTTTTTTTTGTCTAACTCATCAACATTTGGAACCAATCGTTTTTTTGTTTCATTCTATTACCGAATTTTTTTTTTAATATGAAAATTTTATTCGTTGAATAATGCAATATAGACAGATTGTGTGTTGTATAATAATAAATGAATGATTTTTATTTCATTTTTTTCATCATCATTTGACGGCATGAAAAATTGACAAAACATAGAAACAAAGAAACATTTATTTATTTTGAAAATTTGTTAACGGTATTTCATTTTTACTGCTGTTGTTGTTATAGATTTATGTTTGTGTTTGTGTTTGTGTTCCAAACTAATTTCCCTGTCCTGTTTTATACACATTTTTTTATGTATGCAAGTTTTGTTTTCTGGAACCGTTTCTTTTTTCTTTTGAAATTGTTAAATTCACATATTGGACATTGAAATATCAATGATTTTAATTAGGAAATTATTCTCATGAAATGAATCGATATTGTATCGATATTTGTAATTCTTGGAAAAAAGAAGAATTAATGATAATATCTGATTGTTTTTGTATAAAATAAGTGTTTATTTATTTATTTATTTATTCGGGTTATTCACATTCACTTTTACGATGAATATATTTTTATTATTATAACGATCAGATCAGATCAGATCTGATCAGTTTGGGTAATAATAATAATGATGATGATGATGATGATGATTTTTTAAGGACGAGTCCATTCGAATAATGTATGGGTAAATTTTTGTTTGTAAATAAAATTTTACTTTGCACTTTGCACTTCGTCCTCTTTCGGTATTTTTTTTTCTGGTTTGGTTTGGTTTGGTCTGTTATTTTTCAACTATGCTTCTACCCAAAAACCAATGAAAAAAAATATCATAAATTTAAATGTTGAAATTAAAATTCTACCACTATGCATCGATACAAACATCATCATTATCATTATGATAATAATGACAAAGGGGACAACATCAAGGTCATCATCATTCTAATGATTCTCATTTTGATTTAGCAAAAAAAAACAAATCAAATCAAATTTTAAATGAAGAAAAAAATGAACGCTTTTGTTTGTTTGCTCGAAAAAAACCGATGGCTAATGATAATGGATAAACAGAATCGAAAAGAAAATCTTATCTTTTATCTAAATCTAAATCTAATCTGTATATATGATGTAGGTAGAGAATGATATTTAAACATTGAAATCAAACAAGATAATAATCATAATGAAAATTTTACTTTTCACTACATCTTTGTTTGTTCCAGAATAAATGAGAAAACAAAAATATTCTATTCATTTTTTAACCAGCTTTATGATGATATGTGTGGTTTCAATATTTTTTTTGAAAAAACAACAACAAAAATCCAAATTACATTTTGTGTGTATCGGTATTGTTGTTCGTTTGGCCAAAAAAAAAATCCAAATTTCAGTTTTTTTTTATTCAGAAAAAAAAATTTCAACAATCCCAATCGTAGTGGTAACCAAAAAAAAAACAAACAAAATAGTTCGTTGGCCGGATCGGCTAGTGGTAGATAGTAATCATGATTATAGATGAAAAATAAAAAATTTCAAAATAAAAAAAATCTCATGTCCATTGTTATTTTTTTCTGTTGTTGATAATAATAATGATGAAAAATGGTAATGATTCTTACCTCGAATAACCATTTCTGCATCATCATATACCATAGATATATCGATGATGATGATGTATGTATGTATATGGTGTATAAATAGTGGACTCGTTCATAATATTCTGTTCAAAAAAAAAAATTCTTTTGTTGTTTAGAGTTTGGTTCAATTTATTATTAGTTAGTTGGATTTTTTTTTGCTTGCTTGCTTATGTTATGATGATGAATATTTTTTTTGTTGTATGAAAAAAAATATTCGTACCCTATAAACACACACACTCCTACTTTTTGTTTTCTGAAAATGAAAATATTTTACGAATAAACGAAACCATCATGAAATTGAAACCAAAAAAGCCACCACCTACCAGAAAACATTGAATGGAAAAAATTGTTGTTGTTGTTGTTATTTTGGATCATAAATCATTTGACTTGTCGCTGTTTTTTTCGCTGCTGCTGTTGTTGTTTTGTTGCTACCATTTGTGAATTTTTTCTATCGTTTTTGTATATTTTTACATTCTATTTTGGAGAAAAAAAAATATTTTACTGTAATGTTATTATAACAAAGCTTTTCCAATCATGTGTTCATTATCATGATCATTCTGATGATGATGACTATGGAACAAAAACAACAAGAGAACAAAAAAAAAACATTAACGAATTCAACCAAATGTGGATAATGAAACTTATTATTAAAAAACGAAATCTATATCGATTCGATTTGTTGTGGGGAAAAAGGAATTTTTAATTTAAAAAAACAAATTTCAAAAAAAAAAAATTTCAATCCACTTGTGAATAATGAAAAATATTCTGTTGTTTTCCTGATGTTATTTTTGTTGTTGTTGGTTAGCTAACCTAATCCAAAATTGCATTTTATTTTTTGTTTTTTCCAGGTACATAAATAATGGATAAAGAATATTCATTTGCATATTCTTTATTTTATTCTTGTTGTTTTTGTCATTATTCTGTATGTGTGTGTGTAGGTGATGTTTTTACTACAAAACATTACACATGTCCGGAGATTATATGTTTTTTGTTCATTCTCTACTTGGGAAATGCTTTTTCATAATATGATATTTTTTTTTGTTGTATGTAACAGATTTTCTCTGTATTTCTAATGATAATGACATGCATATGATAAGCTAGAAAAAAACATTTGGTGCAAGAGCTAGAGGGAAGAATGATAGTAAATTCTTGCAATTTAAATTTTTTTTTTTGATAAAAAAAAATTGGATTTTTTTCATCTCTTTTCTCCACCACCACCGCTTCTAAACTTTGAAAATATTTTGTTTTTTTAATGCGAAAAAAAGTAAAATTTCCAACTTTTTCTTTGGAAAAAAAATAATAATTCCAACGATCAATTTATGAAATTTTTTTGATTTATCATTCCTTTTTTATCTCATATATTTCAATTTCGATTAGGTTTTTTTCAAAATTAAATTCGAATAATAATTTGAACAAAATCAACCAGAAAATTGTTTCAATATTTGAACATATGGTTATCGGTAGTTTTTCTTTTTCTTTTCGAATGATCAGCACAGATTGTGATGAAATGTTTTCATGTTGATCTAATTTGCTGTTGTTGTTGAATATCATATGTTTGTAATAAAAATGTTTTTTTTCGTTCACTTGTTTTCGATGACATAATTTTTTTTTTTTGGATTTGATTGTAATGTTGATGACTTAATGATACCATCGTTTGTAATTAGTGTCTGTCTTTTTTTTGGTATATAGTATTTTCAAGTGGATCTGTTATGGTACATTTTTTTTCTTTTTGGTTCTTGAATCATTCAAAACAAGAGTGTGTTCAGACAAGTGATACTTGACCGACAAAATAGACAGAGCGAGAGAAAGACATCCGAAAATCGTTTTCGTATTGATACGTTGATTTGATTTAAGTTTTCGAAAGCATCGATTGATGGTAGGAGGAGGAGTAAATTTATTGAATCAAAATTTTTTTTTTCGTTTCAAAAAACAAGAAGAAAGAAATATTCATTATGAAACTGTAAAATGACAACAACAAGTATTCGTTATTTTTTTTCAAAATGATATAACCATTTGATTCATTGTATAATAATTTATTTTTTCAATAAAATTTTTAAAGCTCTATGCTTGGTGTTATGTATGATGATGGTGGATGAAAACTTTCGTTCGTATAAGGGGAAAAAAAGGCCATAATAATATTAGCCATAATTCTATTGTGTGTATAATTCCATTGTGTTTTTATGTGTATGTATTTTCTCTTCATTTCATTTCATTCCATTCGATTTCAATTCATATTTATATCGTCAATGTTTGGCATTTTATTTTCTCGGGTCCTTTTGTTCAACCGTATGTTCGGTTCGTTTCATTTCATTTTTTTTGTTGTTGTTGCTTGAATCTTTGAATGAATGATGGTTTGTGTTTCATCAGGCTATTGTTCCGTTTTTTTCTCTATGTTTATAGCTAATAGATTTGAATCTAGCTTCAAACGTTGTCCTTGTTGTTGTTGTTGTTGCTCGTTATTGATTGTTGATTGTTAGTTCACCTGGTCCCCTTTTTTTTATCTTCTATTCATTTTATTTATATTCCTTTTTGGTTGACAGGCAGCAAATCAATTTATCTTTTTTTTTCTTCTTCGTACTAGGTTTTTAGATGAATGAATATCGACGAAGAAAATTTACATTTTTTTTTCTTTCTCTCTATTTAACAAGAGAAATTTGAATTTATTTTTTTTTCAGTTGTCCTTGGCGTTTTTCGTTGACATTTTCGTTTCTTTTCTTTTTTCGGTGATCTTTTTTTTCTGGATTTCCATTGTTTACCGGTCGTCTCATGGTTTATAGAAAATTTTTTGATTTTTCTTTTCGTTGTTCAATTGAGAAGGGGATGGAAATTGATGGTGGTAATAAAGAAGAAAACTAGAGGATTTGTTGAAAGCAGCTACTTCGTTTACGAGAAAAAAAATTCATAAAATGCATTGTATGAAGTACGCGTATCTACCGCGTAGAACAAATTTAATAATGAAAACTGTTTCGGTCAATTTTCTTTCTTTATTTTTTTGGTTTACCAAAACAAGAAGTAGAAAAATCTAATCAACCATTTCAATCTTTTGACATCTCTTGAAAATATTTGGGCCTTTCCCATATCTCATTTCATTTCCCCCAATGTCACTGTACTTTTCTTATTCAATCCAAGATGATAACTATGGTTAGGTAAAACACGATCATCATCACCCCCATTAACCATCATTCATTTCGGTTTTTTGTTGTTTTGTTTTGTTTGTAAATCAATCTAATCTGGCCTTTTCATTTTCTCACGTTTATTTTTTCTTTTAAACAAAAAATTTTTTTATTGCTCATGTTGTGTAACGAATTACATAATGTTTAAATGCTATAGAGAAGGTCATTTGGTTGAAAACAAATAATTTTTACCTTTTTTTGAATTTAAATTTTAAAATGATAATCTTTTGTAACTAATGAATGTTTGTTTTATTTATTTTTTTTATTAAATTAATTAATATTAGACAAAAACCAATGCATCCGGATATGTTGGATCCGAACAACAATTTTCAAATAACCAAAATAATGGCAATCTATCACAACAACAATATCCAAGTGTTCAATATGAAACAAATAATTATGGTCATCATCAACAACAACCACCCCCATTACAATCACCATTATCAAATGGAAATCCAATAATTGCAAACAATCAATCATCAGCATCAATAACACCTCCACAATCAATTATGAATGGTACAAATGATAATTATCATCATCCACAATCACAAACACCTGTTGGTGAAAATTCAAATCGTCATAAATTGATGAATAATCGTCTGAAAACATTGATACAAAATCGTCAAAGTCAAAAAGATCAAAATATTGGACAACAACAACCACAGCCATCAACACCAACACAATTGCCTGGACAACAGCCACCATATTCACAATTTTCAAGTAAGTTTTGAATAACTTTTAGATCAAACCAAAGAAAAAAACAAAAAATTATCATTTTTTTCTGAAATTCAGATCATCCAAGTCCATATCCTCCACCGAATACAACACCTACAATCGAATCACATTGGATTGCTCAACCAAATAGTCAGCAACAAACCGGAAATCCACCAGCTAAATCACCGAAACCATCTACTTCTGGACGGAAAACACCGGTTTATTCAATGCAATCACCAGCAGCTGCTGCAACATCATCACCAATCGAATCAAATGTTACGCATTCCGTTGACAATTCTAATGCATATAATAATCCATATTATGGTTCTGGTAATGCTCCTCCTCCTCCTTCTGCTACACTTACTGATAAATCTTCACCGGTAAATACCTCAATGCCTTATAATTCTTCGAACCAAATGAATGGAAATAATCAAGGCAATTATCCACCTACATCGAACCAACAACAACCGAATGCTTCTCCATCCGGAACAAACATAATCGAATATCCTTCACCATCATCGACTCATTCGATGATGAATGGAATGGTCGGAAATTCATATGGAAAAACAAATCCATCGGTTCATTCTGATTTGGCCACTTTGCTTAAATCAAATACAACAACACCTGTACCTTCTTATCCTACTTCATCAAATGAAGCGACAACATCCACTGACCATGCATCATCCACAATAACATCAACAACATCAACGAATAATAATAATAATGGTGGCGATCATTTTTTAGTGAATACGACCACAACTATGAATCATCACCTATCAAATTCGACAACATCTATGAATACATCTACAGGTTTGTTTATTAAACTATTCTGTTTTTTTTTATTAGAAATCGATAACTTTCAATGACAAAATTTGATGAAAACAATTTTTCTTTATTTTTACAATTTATCATTAGATATTACCAATTCATATAATAATACTCAATATGGAATGCAAATAAATTCAAGACAATCACAAACGCCGACTTCTACTAATCAATCGAATTCTCCATTTTTTGTCAACACGAATCAATCTGTGATGAACACTAATAATAAGAAAAATGAAACTTTAATAACATCAACAGGTGTTGAACAAGTTGTGATAGCTTCATCAACCAATATGGATGTTGATCATCAACAACATCATCATCTTCATCCGAATCAACATCAAACCCCTAGCATAGCTTGTGGTCGTACAAATAATATGATCGATTTAACAATGGATCCAATATCATCAACACAAACAATATCGCAACATCCATCACCATATTATTCATCATTAGATTCATCTTCATCACCTTATCAAGATTCGATATTATATGATACAACAAGTTTATCGACGACCGGTAAATTATTGGTCACATCAACGGCAGCATTACGATCACCAGTATCGGCTCATTCACCACATCGTTTAACACCGCTTGGTGGACAATCATACGGTGGTTCACCATCACCAAATTCATCATCAACATCGGGTAGTAATCTTTTACCACCAGTATCGACATTTATGTTTCCAAATAATAATAATAATCGCAATGAATTTGATTGGTGGAATCAAACAAATGGTATGAATCATATATCTTCATCATCGGTTACGATACGTAATGGTATGATTGGCGGTCCTAATGGTAATGTTAATTTCGATAATATGACAACAACAAGTCCATTAATGACAGCTAAATTGGTTACATCAACAACGGCCTTATGTGATCCTGATTTGGATTTCTATGGATTATTGGCTAGTAATAGTAATAATAATCCAAATAATGATTATTCAACAACAACATCATCACTTTCATCAACAACAGCAGCTCTGTAAAATTTATGTAAAACATTTCATCCATTTTCTTTTTCGGTAATAATAATGATAAATTTTTTTTTTTCGTCAGACAATTTACTTTTTACTAGGATATTATTTTTATTATTATGTTTTTATTGTGCCAAAAAAAATAACGAAAGAAAAACCAACATATTAATTCAATTGAAAATAGAATTTTGTTGCTCAATTTTTTTTCTCTTTCTTTTCTGAATCGTTTGTTTTTTATTTGAACAAATTAATTTGTAAATTTATTTATTTCATTATAATTTCCATTATTGAAATTGATTTTATTTTTTATTAATTATTATTTTCTTCAAATTCAATTATTACTGACAAAAAAAAGATCAACAAGAAAAATGATTTAAAACATCTCAAAATGTATACTCAGACGGCTATCCTTACCCACCGAAATCATCAATTCACGTTATCATCTTATCATCAATCAAATGGATCAAATTAATAAATTGATCAATTGTAATTTTGTTTTTAAAAAAATCTTTTTTCCTTTCAAATATCTCATCTTTTTTTCTGTATTTTGAAATAAAAATTGTTTAATCTGTCAATCCAATTTAATTATTCGTTTTTGAAAATTTGGTTCAAAATAATAAATTGCGTCAAACCAGCTTTTTAATTTGTTTGTTATCAGTTTTTGTTTTCTGTTGTTCTTTGTTTCGAAAAAAAGGGATACCACGCATTGATTATTTGTTTGTCGAAACAAATCAGAAACAAATCTTGAAATTTCTGATTTGAATCAAATGATATCTGATGTCTCTATTCGCTTATCATTTGACGATAATGATGATGACATAATTTTTCGGGTAAATAAATTTGAAAAGAAAATTTATTGTGGAAAATTGAAGAAAAATCAGATTTGAAAACTTTCATCTTATCTTATCTTATCGTATTTTTCTTTTTGGTACAATCAATATATCGATATCGAGAATTGTCAATTTTAAACTGTAAACAAAACAATCATTTTTTTTGTATTCAAATCAAAACAAAACAGAACAGAAAAAACCGGATTGTCGTCACTTCAAGAAAAAACTTCTTTTCTGGATCATCATTATCATCATTATCATTATGAATGTTAATCAAGTAATTTAGTTTTCACGTTTTAGCCAGTAATATTTTCTTTTATATCTCATTATTTTCATATCATAATTGTTTTTTACAAAACAACAATGCTCTATATAAATTTCCGATTTTCTCTCCGAAAAAAAATATAATTAAAATGCGTGTGCCTCGAATAATGAATATCATTTGAGTTAATATTACAAACCAAGAAAAAAACAAAAAACAAACCTTGGCAAAATATTCAAATGTATCAAGAATTAAATAGTCAAATCGATCGATTGAAACAACAATCGACCAACCAACAATAACAATAACAACAACAACAATATTATTTTCAGGAAATTAAAACAAAAAAGACAAATTTAAACTATTATCGATTAATGATGATGATGATGATAGTGATAGATGAGAATCACGAATTGATTGATCAAAATATAATCATCATCATTATCATCATTATCATCATCATCATGATGTCAAGAAAATTGAATGAATAAAAAGACGAAATCGAAAACTAAATTTTTTCTTGAAATTAACCATAATACAATACGATATTATCATCATCATCATCCTGGATGATTGTATTCTGCATGATGTAATATACAGGATTGATGAATGTCATCATCATCATCGTTGATGTTTTGTTTTGTTTTTGGTTGTTTGCAACAATGTTTTTGTTTTTGTTTTCTGGTATATTAATATCGTTGTAATATCATGATTATTGAATCAGTATTAGGATAATAAGATGAAAAACATCAAAGAAAAAAGAAAAAATCGTTCAATCATCATCAATATTCTTGTTTTGTTGTTGTTTTTGCTCACTTGATGAGATACGGATTTTGTTGTTGTTTGTTGTTTGTTGTTTATAAAATTTTCTAGATAAAATAAATAACATCAATTACTATACCGTGAATCAACATTCAAGATGATGATGATGATAACTGTAACTTCTTTTTTGTTGCTGTAGCCAAGATTAAAAACACGAAAATTTGAGCAATGAAATTTCATTTTTCTTTTAATTCAATTTCACTGTTGTGGACATTTGAAGAAGAAGAATATAAATTTTTCAGAATTCATTGACATCACATCGAACGATCAATCGATCGATCGATCGATCGATATGTATTCGTGATGAGGTGAGAAAAATGACAAGTTTCGAAACGGGGGGGAGACAGGAAAAAAAACCCTAATCCCAAATTGGACGGTATAAGCAAAAAAGTTTGGATACCATTGATTTATGCTCAAAATTTTTTTTTGTTTTGAAATGTTACATACATTATTTTTTGTTTTTGTTTTTGGCTGTTCCAAATTGAAATCCATGTTTGGAATCGAAAATCAAATTCATGTTTTTTGTTTTTGTTGTTTTTTCATTCGTTCATTCATTCTGTCAGTGTGTAATGTCCCATGTGTTGTATATGTGTTATCATTAAACTTTTCTGTTGTTTGTTTTTCGTTTTGTATTGATTTTTTGTCTTATTTTTCATTTTTTCCTGTTTTCTATCCATATATTTGCGTGTTTGATTATTGAATTTTTAATTTTGTTTGATATTCGTGTTTGTTGATTCTGTTTTTTTTTGTTGTTGTTGTTAATATTATGTATTTTATACATAAAATACTATCATTTTATTGAAAGTTTGAACTAACAAAAAAAGTTTTCAATTCGATTCTGTATGATTTTTATTTTTATTTTTTTGTTAAAGTTTTGTCGCACACACAAACACATCCATAGATTAGATTATAAAGTTTGATCACAGATTCTTTGCAATCATCATATCTGATAATCATTTTGTCCATTCATCATCGATGATGTTAGTTTTTTATGAATAAAGATTATCATTTCAAAAGAAAAAAAATGTTTCTCTATCAATTCCATTTTTTTTTAAAGTATACATTAAAATCTTATAGTTTCTTTTTCCCAAGTTCATCATTCAAATGATTATTTTATGATAATAAAGATTAAAGATTAAAGAAGATTTTTGGAAGAGAAAAACAAAATTCAATTTTAAATTTGCTACAAAATATGTATAATCAATAAATCTAATGCAATTCAATTCATTTAATTATTCATACAATGTTGCAATGTGACAGAAATTATTATTATGCATATGATTGACAATCAATTTGATTTGATTTGACATTTTCATACATATAAATGTCGGTTTTTTTTTCTCATTCAGATTAATTAATAATTATGACTATTCTGTCCTTCATAATGTTTACATTTACCATCAGAATCAAACGAAGAGAGAGAGAGAGAGAGAAAGAGTAAGGATAAACTTTGTAATATTCAAACGAATCGATTTCCATAGAATCATTGTTCAACCAAAAAACATGTTACAATTAAGAACAAACGAACGAAATTCTGGATCGATCCATAATGGTTTGACCAAAATAGTTTTTTCTCTTATCCATTCTGACCATTTCAACTGCGTAACATCCTTTTTTTTGTTTATGGAAAAAGCAAAATGTTGAATTCAATGAGCAAACATTGTTTTTTGAAAATAATTAATTAATTAATTGAATTAATGATTATGAATGAGATTGATGTTGGAAAAAACATGCACACTGCTATATGAATATAGGCATCTATTTGGATAGAAAATCGTTCTTCAAAAATATTCATTCAAAAGTCAAAATAAATAAATTGCGAATGAATGAATGAATGAAAAAACACATCAACGTTGTGTATGTGTTTTCAACGAGAGATAAAGAAGAAGAAAAAAATTATATTGAATTAATCATTTAATGCAAAAAAATAAAATTCAAAATGATTGCAAGATAGTTTTTGAGAATCTAAAATCTTATATATTCCCATAATACACCAATCTTAATGCTTGAGAGAAAATGTATTTTATTATTTTGTTTTTTTTTCCTATTTTTTTCAATTATTTATTGAATTTAAAAATATTTTTTTGAATGAAAATAGATCTTAGAAAAAAGATGATGATAATGATGAAAAAACGAAATAACAGTTCATGCATATATATGGGTTTTTTTCCTACTCAATATTCAATGTTGATTAATAATAATTTTAATTTTTTATTTTATTTAGAAAATTTTCTCCGGTGTCGATATTTTCATTCGCACACACACACACATATATACTTTAACATTTAATCTTTTTTTCTTTTCTGGATATATTATTCAGGTAAAGATGTTTTTTTTTTCGTAAATTTTCGACGAAACGACCATGCTACAAGTATACTAGAGAAGTGAAAAAAAACAAGACGATGACCTTTGTGTGAAGATAAACTTACCCAATATAACAACAACTAGCCGAACATGTTTTTCGGTTCGAAGATTTTTTTTCTCTCTCTCTCTCTCTCTTTCTTTCTTTCTTTAACCTCGAGGGCATTGAGACAAAATAACCGACAACACACACAAAAAAATGGTATTGGGAAACAAGAAGATAAAAAAAACTGGATTCTTCAACGCTTCATTGAATCGTCGATATATGTTATCTTTCGATAGCTATTTCACATTCATAGTTTGTTGTGATGATGATGATTGGTGAATGGTGAATATAGCGAACGAAAATTGAATGAAAACAACATATAAAAAAATCTGAATGAATTGACCAGAAATGAATTAACTAATTTGCCAATATAATTGGTCATATTTTGAAGAAAAAAAAAATTTCAAAAATCTATTCATTCAATCTTTTTTTCTATATATTCATTCAGATCAATAAAATAAAAATTATCGATTTACAATATCTTTATGTGTGTTTGTATGTAATTAATTCTTTGAATGGGGAGAAAAATGAAAACTTGAGCTGAATTTTAAACATTTTCTTCTTTTTCTTCTTCTTCTTCTCGGTTTAATGAATCGATTATAGTAATATATTTTATCTTGTCATTGTTGTTATTATTACTATATTGATCAATTGCTTTATTAGATGTTTCTTTTCTTCGTAAATGATGATGATAATAAATTTATCAGAAATGGTCAAAAAAAACACATACAAGATTTATCGTAATATCTAAATACATGGCGAAAATAAAAAGTTGATA